TTCCACCCAGCTGTCAAGAAAGTTGAGGTAATATTTGAAACCCAAATTAGGGCCACGTGTATGTAAATAAAACTTCACCAGGAAAAACGACTTGCAATTAATATGGAGAGACACTCTCACTAAAATGACGTACAATTAGAAACCTTACATTTGCAAACTAATTTTCTTTTCTAATCCCATTAGATCAACCATCCAAGGTAGGGATGGATAACTGAAATTCACAAATAACTCTACAACTACTTTAAATACGGTCAGTTACTTCAATCCGCGTGCTCATCAGAGTTACTATAGGACTAAGATTGAAATCAGGTGATCTGAATTTCACAAATAAATTTGCGCAACCTAAATGTAAGGTTATTCGCACAATTATACCTTGAGTTTAATATAAAGAAAACTATACAGCTTTAAAAATGTATATAAAATACATAATAACTTTAAACACAGTCTCAAGATGCTCTGTTGCCTCCTGAAACGGATAACGAAGGGAGCAGGGTAATGAACACAAGAGACAACTCGTTCCTACAGGTTTGAAATACTCCTAAAGGGTGTTTTCACATCCAACACACTCTTTTTTACTGACTCGACGGCCCCGAAACTCTGCCTTCAAGTAAGGGTCAAAAACGCTCCGTGTCTTAAAGGCGTGAGGTGCTAAGCGCACAAAAGACGATGCTTCGTTGTTTTTTGAGAAAGCACTGGGCAACCCCACTTTTGAAACTGTGGAGCCCAAAGGACTTGCGCAAAGGCCTCCCAACCGCTCCCCAAAACAGCCATCGCCCACACCTGGCGGCCCGGCTGCCTAGCAACGCGGGAAGGCTGCCTATGAACGCGGCCCGCCTGCCCGGACCCGTCCTGGCCCTCCCGGGAATGCCCAGAGGATTCATTCTACCTCCTTTTTCTTCTGTCCTCCACCGAGCTGGATGCAGAGAAGCAGCAGGAGGAGGAGAAAGGGAAAGCTCCCGGTGGGCAGATACCGCGGTCGCCGCCCCGCCTGCCTCCGGCGTGAAGGAGCGCCCCTGGCACCCATCGCCGCAGGGACGTGTCTCCTCCACGCTCGGTAACCGTGTGCGCCCAGCTCCTACCGGCGCCCTACACCTGCCAGGCCAGCCGCCGGGAGCCCCCTGACCGTCCCCCCCGTGGATGCCTGCGGCCTTGCCAGGGAGCCGGGAAGCACCGGAGGACGCCGAGGAGGTAACTGACGGAGCATCCGGTTCACTGGAAAAGGAGACCTGGAAAAGCCCAGGATGGGGCAGGAAGTGGGCGTGGCGAGGGAGCCGGAGCTTCCGTGCACGCCGCGCTGCGCTCTCAACCGGACTCCATCCGGAGACCCCGGCAGCGGAGGGCGCAGTTTTCCACCTCGCTGATCTGAACTGTAGGCTGTCTTGCCAGTGAAACCAACACCGGTCTCGGGAATATGCGAGAGTCCTGTTTATCCAACACTTTACCTGGAACCAGAGACAGACATAATTGCCTTCTTCGATGATGGAGAAGAGCTTTGAGGAATTAGTAAGGATCTGGCCCTTCTAGCTAAAGCAATCTGATCCCATTGGGACATTTTTACTCAACAGTAGTTCAAAGAACTGAGTGATATTGTGATAATAGACATCTTCTATGCCTGTCTACTTATTGTGAACATAGTTTCTTAGCACTTAACATAAACAAAAATCTAAAATAAGAAGAAAGTGATGCCGAATATTCTCATTCTAGAAATAATTTTTATCCACAGATGCATAAACTAATTTTAAAAAACTTTAATTATTTCTGCAAGTAATGTTTTCCCAATACAACTTTGCTTTTCCTGTTTATTACTGTTTTCTCAAATTCATAACACGTTATTTTGATCAATGCGGTACTACTAATAACTAATGATAGCTCAGTGCAAAACAAATTTTAATATAGCCTCATGGTCACAGAAGTTTGTTTAGATCAAATTTCAATTTATACAACTCTGTCTGCATAGGAGAATGACTCTGAAGCATAGAAAGATCAATAAAAGACTTCCAAGCATAAAAAAGTATATGTTAGGATAAAATTCTATCAGATTATAGTGCCTGTGGGAGAGTAAATTGGTTTAACCACCTTGAAAAACCGTTTGGCAGTACATGCTAAAGCTAAATACACCTACCCAAGACCCAAAAGTTCCACATAAACATATAGTCAGCACGTGATATGTTCCAATTTGTATAGCAGCTTTATTCATAAAAGCCCCAAGCTGGAAAAAGACCAAATATCCATCACAGTAAAATAGAGAAATAATTTGTGATATAGTAACACTATATATCAATAAAAACAAACTAATGACACTTATACATAATATGAATGAATTTTACAGCATAAAGATCCAGACACAAAATATATTGGGATTTGTAGAAATAAACAAAGATCAACCAAATGAGAACAGGCAAAGGCCATTTATTCAGAGCTTGCAATAACAAGTGAGTCAGCTGCCACCTGAGTTTGGGCAAAGACTCAAAGGTAGGCAGAAAAGTAGGAAACATTAGTAGTAGAAAAAGAGGAAGGCTTCAGGTGTGCTATGACTGGAGGCTGTGGACATGCGGGAAGCTGTAGGTGGGCTAATCAGAAGGGAGCACCTATGTGACTGTCTAGGGGTACATATTTAGCTTTCTCTAGTTGGTCTTAAGCTGGACGCAGGGACAAAAATTAGGGAAGCTGTCAGTTATTAATCAAGCCCTGGGCATTCAGGATCAATTATTACAGAAGTTATTATTTGGCTTCCTAGATTGTTATTCAAGCTAACAATCTGACTTCCTACTAGTCCAACTTACAGCAGCCTGGCTTATCGGGTTATGATAGATAAGGGGTTGGTTTCCTGGGTAGGCTGCTGCAGGTTGTGGATCCAAGCTCTATTTTTATATATGATCTGGCCGTTGTTGGTTATTATATTTATTATCCCAGATTAGAAGTCAGGACAGTGGAAGAGGACCCAAGAGAGAACCCTGTGGTGCTAAAAATATTTTACAACCTATTTCTTGATCTGAATGCTGGCTGTTAGATGAGTGTATATTCTTCGTAAAAATGTATTGAGCCAGAAACTTATGATGTATTTATGTGTATTATATTTCAATGTAAAATTTACTTTTGAATAAAGAATTTTATGAAAAGCACATATTTAAAATCCTTGGAGGCAATAGAATGGAAATACAAGTTCAGGAGGGTAAAAATGTAATATAAAATATTCAACTGTTAAAAAGAAGAGCTCCTTCTTGTTTGTTAGTTTTGTAATGGATAATGACGGCCATCATTTCCATATTTTGGGAATATTTAAAAGAATGCTGTGACTTATTTTTTAAATGTCAGTATTTATAACTTGTTGGAAATTTTATTCTTTGCAGCTATTTAAACTTATGATGAGAATTTTTAGATATTTGCTTTAAAATGCACAAAATGGTATCTAGTCTTCCATACTCTTTTAGAGGAATGTTATCAAAGCATTTTGAAGACCATATTTGTCCTGTTTGTGGCACAGAGCTCCTAAAACCCTTGGAATTTCCTAAGTGATGAGAGTGATAAAAGTGTCTTTTGTAACATTGATCAGGTGAGATTTGGAAAGCACCTAAGGATGGTGCTAGTTGCCTGGAGAACTAACAAGGTGATGAAAGGGTTGAAGCTTTCAGTCTCAACACCTGACCTCTGGGGAGGGGAGAGCAGGGAACGGGGCTGGAGGTTGAATCAATCTCAGATGGTCAGTGATTTAATCAATCATGCCTATGTAATGAAGGCTTGAGTTCAGAGAGCGCCTAAGTTGGTGAACAGGTGGAGATCTGCGGGGGAGAATGATGCACTGGGAGATAGCATGGAAGCTCTGCACCATTTATCTCATACATTTCTCTAGGCATCTCTTCAATGTGGCTGATCCTGAGTTACAACCTTTTATTACAAACCAGTAGCCTAATAAGTAAAATGTTTCCCTGATTCTCTGAGCCACTCTAGCAAATTAATAGAACCCAGGTCATTGGAACATCCAATTTATGACTATCAGTCAGAAGCACAGGTGTTAACCTGGGTTTGTGTCCGGAGTCTAAGGAGGGCTGAGGGGGGTGAGGAGAGAGGAAGGGAGGTGTGTAGTCTTGTAGGGCTGAGGACTTAAATTGTGAGATCTGAGGCTATCTCCTATCTCTGGGGTAAATAGTGCCAAAATTGAGTTCAACTGTAGGACACGCAGGTGGTGTTTGAGAATTCCTGGTGCTATGGAAAAATCCTGCCATACATTGGAATTGGGTGCAGAATGTTTTCAGTGATCAGTGTTGCTTTATCTTTCTTACTTAAAAATACCCAACACCCAAAGATTATTTTCGAAGTAGCTTAATCATATGTCTAAGTCTGCTGTTAAAGCAACTCTCTGATTATGGAAATGTTCTATATTTGTACTGTCTAATATGGTAGCCACTGGCCATATGTGACTACTGAGCAATTGAACTGTGGTTAGTGCAGTTGAGGAACTGAATGTTTAATTTATTTAATTTTAAGCAATTTAAATTTCAGTAGCTACAGTGGCTATTATAATAGTCACTACTGTCCTGAATAGTCCAAGGTCTTGAAGTTATTTAAGAACCTGGAATATAATCTTAGTTAATACATTAAGTCCTCATGATTGGCAACATTGTAAGAATTTCATAAAATTAAACATTTAAAAAGATGTCCACTGTTTTCATTATGGATATATACATATATGTATACACACACATATGTTTTCATATATTTTAATTTAAAAAATAATTATCTACTTAAATCATAAATCATTTTAGGGAATTTAAACTGTGTGAAATTTAACCCTGATTTGTATAAATCTAAATATTGTGCTAATATTATTTTTATATGGTAAACTAAATCTAACAGACTCTTTAAATAATGCCAAAAGTTATTTCACATATTAGAACTAACATCTCTTTTTTTAATCTCATAATTATAGTAATGAAGGCTAGTAAGTGCACACTGAAGCCTCTACAATTTTTAAAACAAATGTAACACAATGTTTTTCTTTTTTTTAAACAACTTTTAGTGTTTGCACTAGATATCCCCAAAGTTCATGTATACAAGAAATATGATTTTTCTAATCTGTTACTCTTTAAGATTTCCCAAGCACAAGAAAAAGAGAGGGAGAATAACAGAAACAGAAAAATAAGAAGTGAGAAGAAGCCAACTTCCAACAAATATTAAATTATCACTGAAAAGAGCTAATTGTCTCCTCATTTGCAAGGAGAGGAGACAAAGTTTAGATGCAGGAAAACACATTTTGGCATATATACACACAAGAGAGAAAGAGTGTTTGACAATTTTATCAAGCCATTCAGTTTAAAAGCCAGGGATTATTGTACCCTGAAGAAATGAAATGAAAGAGGAGTCTTCTACATTGAATAAAATAATCTCTTTGTTGTAGACAAGACAATCTCCCCATGAGAGTTTCTTCCTCTTTTGTTCCAAGGGAGCTGTCAAATGAACATCTTGCTAATGTCAAAAGTTCCCCCAGCAGTCATTGCAGTTTCACATCGTCTCTGGGAAATTTCACCAGTCAGAGAGTAAAGTCTATCTTATATTTAGAGAACATAAAGGAAAGAGGGGTTTGGCTTGAAAGAGTTGCAGAGTTAGATCAAGATGGCCCCATGAGAACTCCAGTGGTCAGTAACGTTGGTGTTTGTGCAAACTTGCATCTCTAAAACTTGCCCTGATCAGGAGCCAGAAAACCGCCCCCGACTCTGGGGATGAAACTACATAAATTATTTCTCACAAGACTGAGGGAAAACTCCTTACAAGTTTTTGAAATGGTGACCTAATGCATTTTTACTCAAAGAACATTAGTCTGTTGACACCTTCTGAATTCCTTTTTCAGCACTGGCGGAAAGGTGGACTTATCAGGTCTATCTCCATCCCCTCCTTACAGACTTTTCTTCTTAGAGAATAAACAAGCAGACCATAGAAGTGAATATGACAAGGCCAGAAAACAATTCACCGAGAAACAACATAAATCTGATCATATGACCGAAAAAGTCCCAAGAGTACTTGTTCTTAAGTAAACAAAAAACCCAGTGCTGAAGAATCACAATGAAATAATAATCAGAGCTTAGTTCAGAGTGAAATTAACCTCCCATAAGTGGCCAGGGTGACACCTTGAACACTTGAGCAGGTAGAGATTTCAAAGGGGCCCAGTGTGCACCTTATTACTGAGTCTAGTGTCCTGGTCCAACAGTGAGGGTCTCGGCCCAACCTTAGTGGAACCTGAGTG